ATGACAGCGTCATGTGCAAAGCAAGTAAATGAACATTTATATTATAAAAAGAATGCATTGAAACATTTTTGTTTTTCTCTTTGTCTGTATTGTCTTATCTTTATCTATTTTCAGATACATTGTGTAAAAATATTGGGTAATTGTAAAATTATTATATTAGTTTAAAGAAATACCAAAACTACTAAAATTTTTTGCGACCCCCCTGCTGTAGATGGGGGTTGCGATCTACAGTTTAAGAAAGTCTGGTCTAAAATAACGTTACAATATTTGATCTTGTTTAGAACATTGGATAACTGAGGCCACAGCCAGTGCGGTTATGGCAGGTGTGCAAAATTTTGGAATTTACAGAAATATCAAGTAGCAAAATTTTTGGAATTAAAAAAAGGAGTGAAAAGTTTTTAGAATTTAGGACCCACAGAGATTGCATAGCACAGCAAAATGTACCTGCTGAAGCTAGGACTCCAGTGCATGGTTATATTCTTGTAAGGAGTGTATGCCTGAACGCAGAGATGCATTTTGAGTCATCATCGCTAGGTCACCAGCCTACACAGCATTGTGTGATATGTCATTCATGTAAATAAGGAATAAAATTGATTGCACATTAGTTAAATAACCTAACTCATTCCTTGTAAGTATTATGCGAGAGTACTGTAATTGTTGAATAAGAATACAACACTTGCTTTCTGTTCATCTGAAATGGGATAGATCTTCTAGCAGTTATTCCGGCAGAAGTTTGAAGGAACGGATCATTCTGTATTTAGTTAGATAATCAAAATACACAAGCTATGGACATAACATATTAAACCGTAATTCACTTTTCACATTGGACAGCCAATGTTTTCCATTTTCACATAAGTCGTATTTTACCGTTTTTCAAAATGCAATTGATAACAAGTTGAAATACTTTTTTTTTTTTTACAAAATTTAAACCTGGGAGTCATGAACAAATTTGTGGGGGGTCACCAAATTCAAAGAAATTTATTTGACAATAAAAGATATACAGAATTTGAAGAGAATTTTTGATGTTTTTTAACATTTCCATATTTTAATTTTGATTTTATTGCTTTCCACTTGATTTGTGTGTTATGCTTGATGATTTCCAAACAGCTCGAATCAAATTTCAAAGCAATTGCATAAGCGCAGCTAAGATGTAGTTTTTTTTTACTATCTTATCTTTAGTGTCTTGCATGCAATTTGTAATTGTAATACACATCAATAATAAAAACAATTTAGTTTTAGTTGCAATTTTGTTCCTGATGGTTAAATGGCCCAAAATAGATACTCAATGTTCACAAGAGAAATGGGATGGATGTACCAACATCAAATAAACTTAGAGAAAAACTATTAATGAAAATGCAAACAAAAATGAATCCACTGGTTCTCTTTCTGCTTCTAAAAGAAATTGAGTAAATATCAAGAAGAGTTTATTTTATACTGTTTTACATGTTGCATTATTAATGGAAAATGAATAGCCATTGTGTGTTAAATGCAGTAAAAACTTGGCATATGGAAAGCATGAAACCTGCAAAATTAAAAACACATTTAGAAACGGTGCTTTTCCGTTTTGCAAGCGCAAACGATAAAGTCGCCAACAATGGTACAACTGATGCCAAATGGAATATCTTCACTGGCAACCTTTTCCGCCTCATTTTCAAAACATGTCGCAGCCATTTCTTATCAGATTGATTGTTTCTTTCAATACTGGCATACAATTACATAGAATTTTTACAAGATAGTTAAATTTTATGCCCTAAGACCATTCATGGTAATTAAGTCAATTAAAATGCAATTCACACCACTCACTCAAAGACGAAAATATAGAAAAGGCAAAATCAAGGGTTAAGCTAATACTTTGGCAAGGAGAATTGAACAAAAACGACAGAAACATGTTCTTCAGAATTTACTAAAGAAAATAATACAGATTTCTTGTTTAAAACAACATATGATAAAACGGAAAAGTACCGATAAAACTGACAGAAAATTTTTTGAAAAATTTCCAAATAAGGAATTAGGTTGGATCTGTGACCCATTTTGCCTTTATTATTTTCAATTCCAATGTATCTCTAAATGAAAAAGCACAATTAATTGATATTTTAAGTGACAGAATACTGTGTGTTCAAGTTAAAGTCTCTAACTTGCCAAAAATTTTAGCTATCCTACTGGAAACGAATATGCCGATTTAAAAGGAATGAAAGTAAATTATTACGTTTTTTACATAAACTTCTAAAATGCTTATGTTACATCTTATCTGTTATATCAGCATTGAAAGTTAGATTTTCTCACTGAAATAGAAATAATTTTTCTACTTGAATTAACATGGAGAACTTTTTTCATTGAAATATTTTTTCTCAGTGACCATTTAGTTGCATCTACTTACAAACTAAAGATTAAACGAGCTGTTTCTAAAACATTTTGAATTCGCTGTCATACTTGATCTATGAAGCACTAAGATTAGTGAGTTTGTCTTACCTTATTGACAAATATAGTTTTTAAACAATCAAATAATTTTATGCGGAGATAATTACTTGTCAAAATATGAATGTGTTTTTCAAGTGGAAATAAATAATGAGTTGTAAAAAGAAAATTCAGTTAGAACATTCACATCTCTAACAGTAATTTGGATTGATTTAATCTTTATAATACAATATATTTTACAATGATAAGGCAAACTCCAATGTGAAAGATTATGCGAAGATTACGATAGTACCTAGAGTATTCAGCATATCGTATAATCCTATAACCAGATAATAATAATATTAAAATAAATTTTATCTGAATGAAGTTTTCTTATTACAGAAACAGTAAAATTATGCCATTACATAAACGAATGTACTTTCAGACAACATACTTCATACAGTTCACAAGTTCTGTTTATGTTACTTTTCGCCCTTCAGCGCATGCTCAAGAATTACCATCCAGGCGAAACTAGTCGATTTGTCCATGACGTCAAAAATTCGAAAAGTGGGGTAGGGTTTGGAAATACGCGTCCAAACCTACTCTTAACTATGATTTGGGGGCCCTTTTAAATATGGCTCCATAGCGATTGAGGATTCCTTTACCCCATCAATTTGTTTGTATATGCAGGTTCGAAAGTTCTGATGTTTTTACCATTAAACTGAATAAATTAAAAAATAGAATGTGCAAAATCCATAGTAGAGCTTTGCCTTTTAATATTTTGGATGCCATATTGTGTACATTGTTAAGATATAGTTTAAAAATAGGAAAATAATCAAACTTAATTGTTCCTGCTTGCGAAAATAGTATATCATTGTCTTCAGAAACAATAAACTTAATATTTATCTTTTCGGATGCTGAAATCAATTGATACAACAGAATAGGTTTTACTAACCGTCCGATGTCGGATGTGTAGACACTTCGGATAGTCATCTGCCGAGTTTGACCTGGTAACGTTGGATCTTGGATCGTCCCGGTACTTTCCTTATGGATCACAGTCGTGTCTGCCACATAAGTAGTTTATATTTTTGCGAGTCAGCTAAGCTTAGTAAGTACACGAAGGAAGCTTTGGGAAGTTTCTTGATAGGAAGATGAATAATTTTTAATGGACTGTAAACTCGAAAGTTTAAATTATACTGCTGCAGATTCATAACAATCATGAGTGAAGTTTTGGTGTTGCTGTTTTTATCGTCTGCTATGCTAATCGGCTGTTACATGGCTGGAATGATACCACTGATTGTAACTTTGTCTGAGGTAAGGAATGGTTACGAATGAATAAACCATGAAAGAATTTTTTCTATGTATGATGAAAATCAGCTGGATCATTGGGTTTTTTGAGATACATTTTTATAATGTAATCTTGTGTAAATATGATGCATTTATATGTCTTTTCTTGTAGTTTTGGATAATAGTTATGAATTTTTAACTTTTTTAAAATAATAAGGGTAATAAAGAAATTAAATTTATTTTGTATCAGAAAATATGGTTTATCATTTGTATGATTATTTTTTTGCTGTCTTAATTTTAAACCGTATTTTTAAATAAATATAATTTAAAACAGGGTTTTCTTGTAATCTAGGAATTACAAATGTGCTTCTTGTATTTAACTACATAGAAAAATTAATTTTTCTATTTTAGACATTCATTTTTTGGGGAAAGTGCAGAATCTTCTACTGCTTGGCGCATTTTTAAGAATTGCACATACTCGGTACCCATGTACACATCGACCTATTTTCACTTAAAAAAAAAATCACAGAATTGCACAAAAATGGCATTTTGCACTCCCTTGACTTTATCCATGTACACACTGACCTATTTTCACTTAAAAAGTCAAAGAAAATTGACAAAAATCTAATTCTTCTTACTCTTGTAAAAAGCGCCAAACAAACACCAATCAAATAAGTGGGCGATTCTGCACTTTGGCCCATATTTTTTTCCATTCGGTTGAACTCAGCATGTTAACATTGTGTCTAAAAGTATCGTTGTGTTATGAACATATTACATTTTGACATATTTTGATCATAGGATGTATATATTGTGGAATGTGAAAAATTAACTCTCTCGTTAATTCCTGAAATATATGTGTTAATTACTTTAAATTACTTAATCCAATAAAAATACTTAAATACCATGTTAATGTGTTATTATTGCTTAATTTAAATCATTTTAAAATGTTAAGTGGAATAATGCTTTGAATTATACGTGCTCAGTGTATTCAAGTTTATTCAAGAAAAGAAGGGAGCAGAATATAATCCAAAAGTATTGATATCATTTTTTTATTGTAATACTATCCCCTTGTTTATTAAAGTTCACTGTTTATTAAAGTCACATCCCCTTGTTTATTAAAGTTTCACTTTTATAAAAGCCATTCTGTAGCCATCTTCTCTCTTTCTTTATTTACCAAAAAAAATAAAGATTATCTTTGTTTTGTAAAGAAAAGCTAGAGAGAAAATTATCATTTAACTTTGTGCAGCGATTGAAAAGCATTTGACTTTAATTGTTAAAGAACATGCTGACTTAAGCTAGTTTTACAAGCTACTATGATTGCTTATACTGCCAAAAGTCTTTAATTCGGACTCGTCGGGACTTCAATTCCGGCTTATCGATTTTTCTGGATTATAGATCATCAGTTTAAATCTGGTAAGATGGCATGCAGAAATCATAAAATTAAAAATATGAAACCGTAATTTATGAAATAAAGAGCAATTACGGGCTAAAGGGTATCAAAATTTACCAAAAAAAAGCTTAATAATTATTTGTTTATTTTATTAAACATTTCTTTCAATGCGCGCATGTGTAAATCATACATTACCCATAGTCAAAATTAGAAAATTGCAACCAGAAAACTATTTGATGTGTATTCAGGATATTCATAATGACGAAGAATTTGATTTAAATCATATCCAAGTACATCGAGATGAAATACTACATTTAGTAACCAATTATAAGCGGAATAAAATTAAAACATCTGCCCTGAAGATAAGGATAGTGCTGACAGATCAACTTCAATTCATTGCACGCCGTGACCCCCCCCCCCCCCCCCCCGCAGAGCAGCGTGAAATTGATAAACAAATTTCGGAGTGGTTTGAGAAACAAAAGATATGCCTTTATCCATTTTTTTCAGCAATTCTACTTTTTGTTTGATGGACATCGAAACATACTTTCAGTTTGTAGATCCGTTGGCAGCTCCAGAATCGAAAATTCTTTTTGACATAATCGAAAGTTCAAGCTTACTTTTATAAAACTGCTTTAACAGTCTGCAAAAAATAATAAGCCGGACCAATGAGAAGATTAAGGAACGACGCAATCTGGAACATTAACTGAAATAGATAATTAGATATTTTTAGCTTAGCTTATACCGTCCGTTATACATTAAACACAGATAATTTTAGCTTAGCTTATACCGTCCGTTATACATTAAACACGCATGCGTAAACATATTATGCGCATGTGTGAACGCATTATGCATTGACGCATGCGCAGAAAGTTTGTAACTTTGAGGTCTGGATTAACGACTTTTGACTGTATAGTGTTGTACAAATTAAAAACAAATATCAGCCATAGCAGTTATTGTGATATTGCAACTCTGTCACAATAGAGTTATATTTTAATATTGCAGTTCTGTCACATTAACTTAAGCAAATGACAAACCTTCACATTCGATAAAGAGGCTGGCAGAACAAATTGAAGACCTGAGGGTACAAACAATGATCTTCTGTCTACTGCCTTTCTTGCTAATTTATAAAGGCTGAGCTTAACATATCGGTGTCTGTCACCAACTGCTAATCTTCCATTGTGCATGAGCTCACTTACTGTTCTTTTAATTCAGGAATTTAAATTACTGTGCATAAGTTATTTCTCTTTGTTTGAGATGCATTTTACTTTTAGTGTTATGAGCTTTTTACATTGGTATGACTTGATAGAAATATCTTATAGAAATTTTAAATTTAAATTTTTTTATTTATTTATTTTTGAATTAACAACTGCTTTTTGACTACACTATTTTAGTTTTACTGGAATTCTTTTCTGTCATACAGCAGAGGAAATCCTTATTTTGAAATTCAGTTTATTAGCTAAAAAAATTAGTTAAATTTTCTTAAAGCAGTTAATCTTTGGATTATGGTAACTTGGCGAAAATTTGGCAACCAACCCTGCTACAGCAACCTGCTAGTTTTTTTTTTTTTTTTTTTTTTGACACCATTTTGTTTTCACGAAGAAAAGGCATGTTTTTTTTCTTACTCAATATTTTTTTCCAACAATCTGCTAGCCGAATTATGCTTATGCTAGAACCTTTATGGAACAAAAGTGCTTAATCATGATGAAGATTAGGTGTGAAATCGGGAGAAAATGCAGAATCGCAAACTGCTTGCCGTGTTTTTAAGAATTGCACATACACAGTATCCATGTACACGTCGACCTATTTTCACTCAAAAAAAATCCCAGCATTGCACAAAAATGGCATTGCACACACTTTTGACTTTATCCATGTACACTGCTAAAGTCCTAGCTAGTAACCTTTATCGCCTTACCAAAATGTCGCCAAACTACCTGTTACCATATTCCAAAAATTAGCCCTTAAAGCTATTATGTATATTTAAAAAATTCAGTGTGTAAATTATTTATTTGTTTGCCTTATTCAGTCATTATATTCTGACATGTATGCTGGGCACTTGCTTTCAGGATAAATTGCAGCTTGTATCAGTATTGGGTGCTGGACTTTTAGTTGGGACTGCTCTTTCTGTTATTATCCCTGAAGGAGTAAATACTTTATATGCAACGCAGATTAGTGAGTTTTATGTTTCTTCTCTGTAGTTACATTTAAGACTAAATGTTAAGAATTTTAAATACTCAAAGATCTTAATTTTGTATTGTAAGAAAGTATTTTCCCCAACGTTTTATTTAGAATCATGAAGACATAAAATCATCAGTTTGTAAGTCATCAATTAATGATTATTATATAGTAGTGTTTGTTAATTAATCATGGCTTAATGATTATTGCATAGCTCTATTTAGTAGTGTCCATCCATACATGATAAAACTGTGCGACTCTACTGTACATAAGTGAAAAATGTTATTCTGAATTTAAAGTAGGTAGTCAGTTTCACAACGATGTTTCATCTTCATGTTTATGAGAAAATTATCTCATTAGTTGTTTTCTCCACTATATCTAGTTAAAATTCCAGTGGTTATCTCATTCATGAGTGGTCAATAGTATATTATAGATTTATTGATAATTTATGAACATTATTTTCCACTTTGTATAGATTTAGAGACAGAAAGGCCAAAAGAACAGTTGTTATGAAATAATAAAGTGTAGGGTAAAAAAAAAAATGATAAATAAATCTGTATGAATTTATGTCAGAATAATATTAAATATAGAGAGCACTTCCACTGTTAAGTATGAAGATCATGTAAAACCAAAACAGACTGATTCATTCTATATTGCAAATGAAATTTAATTGCAATTTATTTTTCATTAATTTATATTACTCTCAATCTGATTGTTACAAATGTGAACATATATTAACAGTAAATTAATGGAGGGTGTGCTGGACAGTTATTAAATGCTTTCAGTATTTTATGCTGTTACTTACTGTTAAATTAACAAAACTAAATACATTTCGTATAGCAAATATTTTTATTAAAACTGCAAAATATGTTATGTTTATTATGTTTTATTAGTGAGACACAGAGAAAGGAATCTTGCCATGTGTTTTATCTTTAACTGTTGTGTCTTCAGTTGAGATAATCCCTGATCACTATTATTTTTTATTTAAAAAGTCCTCATATTGTAAAGTAGTGTATAGCTATCTCAAACCATTTACTTTGCAATGTATGATTCAATAATTTATCAGTTTGGAGTTTATTACAGATAAAAATTTTTTCAAAAAATATACTTGATATTTTGCAAAGCAACATTAGCATTAATTTTGTCACCTTTTGGAAAGATTTTCATCACTTGTAACAGATTATTTTTCTTTATTTTATTTTTATTTCAGTTATAAACTCTTCCTATTGAGAGAGTTTATAGTAAGTATGAATTTTTTTTTTTTTTTTTTTTGCATTAAATCTATTTATAAAAGTATGCCTATTTATTTATGCCTGTTATTTGTTGGATTTAAAGTGAAAATAGGTGAAAATAGCGAGTGACTATTGTAAGAAATTTTATGTGGAAATATATTTTAATCACCAAAGAGGGCATAAATCTTTCATGATGTATACTTCTTGTTCTTGGTTCTAGCAGTGCCAGTTGAATGTGTGTTGGACGTAAATAAACTTGGCAGTTTTGAAACCTGATTCGTAGTGTTCATTTACCTTGGTGATTCGTGTGATTTGAGTTAGTGTCTTGAACCAGGATAACCTTGGAAATCTTGAACGGTTATTATAATATTTGATATTTTTGGCGCCCGACACAGTTGCGCACGAACAATTTTTTTTTATTTATTTAGAATGCGGTGTTGTTTCGTGTTAGTGAAAAGTTTATCCCTCTGGCACTGACCGTAGAAGGAAGATACACGTTCAGAATACTTGTGAATGTACTTCATCAGGAAAGTGAGTTCCTAAATTAGGATTATACCATTTGAAGCCTGCACCAGGTAAGAGAATAAAGTTATTTTATTTGTTATTATGGCAGACGATATGATTAAATTGAAAGCTACCATAATTTTCCGGAAGAAACGCCCCGGCGTTTACGTTTTTAAAACTTAAATTTTCAGCGGGTGCAGCGTTTCTACCCATGCGGCTTTCAGGTGCACTAAAAATAAAATATTTCTGGACGTAAATAAACTTGGCAGTTTTGAAACCTGATTTGTAGTGTTCATTTACCTTGGTGATTCGTGTGATTTGAATTAGTGTCTTCAACCAGGATAACCTTGGAAATCTTGACGGTTATTATAATATTTGATATTTTTGGCACCCTACAGTTGTGCACAAACAGTTTTTGATTTAGAATGCGGTGTTGTCGTGTTAGTGAAAAGTTATCCCTCTGCGCTGAACGTAGAAGGAAAAATGTTCAGAATACTTGTGAATGTGCTTCACCAGGAAAGTGAGTTCCTAAATTAGGATTATACCATTTGAAGCCTGCACCAGGTAAGAGAATAAAGTTATTTTTGTTGTTATTATGGCAGACGATATGATTAAATTGAAAGCTACCATAATTTCCGGAAGAAACGCCCCGGAGTTTACGTTTTTAAAACTTAAATTTTCAGCGGGTGCAGCGTTTCTACCCACGCGGCTTTCAGGTGCACTAAAAATAAAATATTTCCTATGATAGTCATTGTGCATAGTTTGAAATGGTCTTGTCATTGTACATAGTTTGGACTGATGCCTTGTTCATTGTACATAGACACAAAAGTCAGTTGTTTTTTGCGAACGCTATATTTTGTTTACGTTCTTTCCCCTTGAACGGGCCTGCATGCATTATTCACCCTAAACGGGATCTCAGAACAATAACATTCTTCCCCCTTTCAAATCAGCATTCTCATCATTTTGAATAGTCTCTCTCCTCCACCATTCGATGAATCTTCCAGTGCCCATTCTCTCCCCACCCCTGCCTTTTCTGCAATTTTTTTCGAAGGCAGACACGACTCCACCTGCCTCGCAATAACGAACGAACTCTGACGTATTTCCCCTTCAGCATGAATTGATTTTTCTTGGCATTCTGCCAGATACAGATCCCATCAGTTTGGGTACAAGTATATGTTGGATAGTTTTTAAGTAAAAAGGGAGCGGAAAATTTTTGAAAATGGCACCTAAATGGCACAGAAGCTATACTGCTGATTTTAAGCTTAGTGTAATTTCACGTGCTGAACAAATTGAAAATAGAGCAGCAGCTCGAGAGTTTGAAGGGGACGAGTTCAATGTTGTATTCGACGTTGTTGAACTGAAAAAGAACTTACAAATATGCCACAACAGAAACGAATCAAAAGAAGTGGTACTGTAAGGTGACCGAATCTAGAGGACGGCCTTGCAAACTGGATAAAGGAGCAATGAGGAAAGGGAATGGCAGTTTCGACTGTAAAAATCCATTTACAAACAAAATTTATAGCAAAACAAATGAACATAAATGATTTCAAAGGAGGGCCTTGCTGGTGTAGCAGATTTATGAAAAGAAAAAATATTTCTCGGCGTACTAGAACAACAGTCGGGCAACAATTACCAATGGACTGGCAGGATAAAAAGGCATCTTTTCTAAAATATGTGACAAATATTATTGACAAAAAAAAAAAAAATATTTTTTGGTTACAGATAATAAATATGGATGAAACGCCGTTAGCTTTCAACATGACGTAATTATTTGTGCAAATGAGAATGGCTGGATGTGCGAAACAATCATGCATGAGTGGCTACAAAAAAGTTTGGCAGTGCCGTAAGTTTTTCCAACCAAAAGGGTTATTGACAATGGATTCGATGTGTGCTCATTTACTTGAGTCAGTGAAAAACAGATATCAAAAATTATGTACGGCCTTAGCAATAATTCCTGGTGTTTTGACAAAAATCTTACAACCGTTAAATTTGTCAGGTAATAAATCCTTCAAAGCTGAAGTCCGAAAGCGGTGGGAGTGTTGGATGAGTGAAGAATTGCATACGTATACCAAAAGCGGTAAAATGCGTAGAGCATCTTATGAAGAAGTTGCAAAGTGGGTAGTGGGTAGGAAGTGCGTGGAAATCGGTAAAACCATCATCAATAATAACAGGGTTCAAAGAAGCTGAAATTATAGGCTAATCTTTGGAATATGGTAACAGGTAGTTTGGCGACATTTTGGGTAAGGCAATAAAGGTTACTAGCTTGGACTTTAGCAGTGTACATGGATAAAGTCAAGAGTGTGCGCAATGCTATTTTTGTGCAATTCTGGGATTTTTTTTAAGTGAAAATAGGTCGACGTGTACATGGATACTGTGCATGTGCAATTCTTAAAAACGTGGCAAGCAGTGGTGATTCTGCACTTTCTCCCAATTTCGCACCTAATCTTTGTCATGATTAAGCACTTTTATTCCATAAAGGTTCTAGCATAAGCATAATTCGACTAGCAGATGGTTGGAAATGTTGAGTAAAAAAAAAAAAATGCCTTTACTTCGTGAAAACAAAATGGCGTCGAAACAAAAACTAGCAGGTTGCTGTAGCAGGGTTGGTCACCAAATTTTTGCCAAAAAATCGCCAAGTTACCATAATGTGAAGATTAACCAAATTATATCCTTAGATAAAGAGACTGTAAACCAAGAGGATGAAATGTGACGATCTAGAAGACTTTGACTTAGATCAGCATTTACTAAATCTTTTTAATTCAGATAGTGAAGAATCAGATTTTGATGGCTTTGTATGATGTATAGTGTGCTGTAATTCCTTTTGTAAGTAAAATTTAAAATTTCCTTTTGTCATCCAAATTAAATATTTCGTTGTTGCAACATTTTTTATAATATAGTCTGAGTATTACAAATATGGACTTCTTTAGTAGGTAAATATAAGTATATTCATGAACGTAAATATATTTTCAACATTTCTTACCTTTAATGTATTTTAAAGTTTTGGTTTCATTTCATGCATTTTTCTTAACTGATATGTCATATATCAGGACATAGGTTGAGATTTTGCAACTATACAGCCCACGACGATGTCACATGCAATTGAATCTATTGCAGCATTTACGAGGATGCGGCGTTTCTGTGTAATTTGAATTTTTTTCCCGCCATTTTTCTCGAGTGCGGTGTTTACGCTGATGCGGTCTTTCTTCCAGAAATTCCAGTACTACAAAAACTATGAGACAAGCTATTTCTAAAATAATAAAT